ATATTACTATGTTATGTTGTATGGTCATGTGATATGATAAATGTTTTGTGTTATTATGTTATGCTATGCAATGCATTGCTGTGCTATGCTATGCTATGCTATGCTATGCTATGCTATGCTATGCTATGCTATGCTATGCTATGCTACATTATAGAAGCTGGGAAGGCTAAAGTATAAGGCTTTAAATCATGAACGACCTTTTGGCACAGTATAATATGGCATAAAAGGAAGGGCCAGAACACATACGAAAGAATAAGAGGAGGCCCAACTTACTTTTATTGCAAAAATATCATTGCCACAACAGATCATTCCTATGATAAGACCAGTAATCCCTTCATGACAGCAAAGCCCCAGAATCTCATCATATTTTAGATCTACAGAGAACAGTTTGCACTTCAGAGTAACTTTCCAATGTGTGCACTGTGATAGACTCATTTAAGCCACAGCAATTAGAGAGCCATCAAGATGTTGCCCCAAGTCTGGTATGGATACATGGGTGGATCAAGGGCCACTCACACAGACCGGAACTTCAGAATTAAGGTATGGAGATCAAATTTGAGTGCACTTATATCTGGTAATATGAGTAACTGGTTGGAAAACAGCACTATGTATTACAACAAATACTGTGAAATTCATATTACTTTGTTAAATGAAATTCTGTATTACTTGTATTTTTTTGTTTTAATTCTGATTTGTGCTTCCTTTAAAAATAAAAAAATTAAAAATAAATAAAAAAAATTTGAGTGCACTGAATTTTAACTGAGGGTGTGGTGTAGAAAGCCCAGACCTCCCTGAGATCTGATGAAGAATGAACATTTCCATGTACAGATATCCACACCCAAGGATCCTTACTGAAGACCTGGAAGGAGGTTCAGCAAGTCATAGAACATCCTCATTCAAGCAGAGACCACAGTCAGGTATTTCACTGGGTTGTTCTAGGACCATTAAAATGAGGTGGTGTCACTGTGTGGGGTCATGGCCTACATACCCCTTTGCCTAGAGTGGAACAGGGCAGATTAACTACCCAGAAGGGCTCTATTCTAGGTAAAACTGTCTAATCCTGAAACAAGGAGGTTGCCCTGGATTGTGTCTGGCAATGTCCCTGAAGCTGAGATGGGGATCCTAACCCACCACACTTGTACAATAAGCTTGCAGGTTCCCAACTCCAATTCTTCCCAAAAATGAATTTATAGGACTAGTGAGTACAAGGAACAGAAGGGGATTTATTAGGCAGAAATTAAAAGGTACACACTCAAAGAGAACACCATCAATGTTCCTGTAAGAGGAAATACTTAGGCTTCTC